CCGATCCCTCGGTGACGTTTAATTGATCGCAGTGTNCTCAACGATCGAGATGGATGTTTGTGTGTCAAATGATGTTTTTTTTTTTTTTTTTTTTTTTTTTTTTTTTTTTTTTTTTTTTTTTTTTTTTTTTTTTTTATAACTCAAACATTATATCTATATATTCGATCCCTCGGTGACGTTTAATTGATCGCAGTGTATCGAAATATCGCGACACACTCGGGTTTTCTATCATCGAGGTTTTCTTATCATCGTTCCCCCTTTTCCTACGCAACGGAAATCCAACCAGATCTGACAGATCTTACCCGGGTACCTTTTTTTCTTTTTTTTAGGCACTAAACTTTCTCGCAATTTCCGCGACAATTATTAAAACTGACAGAAGTCCTTTAAACACCGGCGCAATGAGGTTGAAACTTGACAAACGCGATAAGCGCGAGAATGTTCAAGAGAAGAGAGAAAGTGTTTCGCGTCGACGAGCGGATTCGAAACGAATCGGATTTCTTAGCACGTCCTTACAATAGGGAAAGGGAACTTAAAAGGGGTGCCGCGATTGTTTATCCAAACATAAAGCAAGGGCGACTTTGTTTCATTCTTGTTGCTTTTTTCTTTGAGGTTACATTTTCGCTTAATATTGCAAAGCGCACACAGACGGTGAAAGAAACGCTAAATAAACGAACCGTGGAAGACGCTCGCGTGGAAACGCACAACCGCGGGGATCATCATCGAAAAAGAAAAGTTTCAGAACTTCTTTCAAATCTCTTTCTTCTTTGTGAAGATAAGAACATATTTGCATGGAGCATAAAAAATTTCCATTTTCCGATCGATTCAGGTTTGTGAAACGCAGCGCGATGATAAATCCGCCAGATTTATTGCGACTTACGGTCACATTTTTTTTTTCGCAATTTACAATCGTATATTTCGAAAATACACCAGTCTATCAAACGAGATCGCGACCTGCATAACTTTCAATCCGCAAAAGATAGACCCTAGAGAAAAAGTTTTGTAGAAGCCGGTAAAGAGAAGAGAGATCTTTTCTCTTACAATATACAGAAAAAGTCTCAGTTGTTTCCGAACTTTTGAGACAAGAAAAAAACAAAAGTATTTTGTCACGAGTTCCGCGTGCGCATCACGTTCAAAAGATGATTCTTGAAGAAATGTTGACGGTCTCTAAAGAGAACGCGAGCGGTTTAATTAACAGAAACATTTTTGTTCTGTAAAACTGAAAATACGCACACGTCCATTCTACCTGATTGTGTGTGTGTGTGAAAAATTTTAAATGCTTTCATATCAATAATGTGTCCAACCGCCACCGTTAACTCCAAGGTAGCGAAAAGTATGCCTCAAAAATGTCAGGCAATTATTGACAACAATGACGACTGGACACGTTAACCCTTTGCACTCCGCTGTCCCCTCTCAGGGGACATCGTAATTCTAGCATATCACTCGGATGTCCCCTCTCAGGGGACATTCAAGTTTATTAGTGATTACGGGGAATTGAGTTATTTCAGCGCAACTTTTTGAAACATGCATGTTTCCCTGAAGTTTCTGCCGTAAAGTGGCGCTGAGTAGCTGATAGCCAACGTCCAGAATCGTTCGGAGTGCAAAGGGTTAAAAAGCGTTTTTAGTTCCAATCGAGTGAAAATGAAATGAATGTATTTTCGGTTTTAAATAAATTTTCCCGCAAATCAAACTGGTCGCCTTTTTCTTTGACAGATTTTTAAACATACTTGTATGTTTAAAAAAAAAAAACCCCGAGATACAAAACGTAAGATAGATCGTGTATTTCAAATTCGATACGTAGTGTGTGATGCGTAAAAAAAATAAAAAAATAAAAAATACTGCATCAATAACGCGCTTTCTCTGTGTTTCACGCGCGCGCTATCTCCATTTTCAACTCTCAACCGGACTGTATCATCACAGTCTTCTGTTCAGACGCTTCCTGTAACTTCGTGAACTCCGATTCGTCAAAGAACTATCACAAACCTGTCGCGATTCCCAGAAGTAAATCTCAAAACGTAAAAATTTCCCATCGAACTTTCGCCATTCCGCTTCGCGCGCATTCGCGCGACGGAGGATTACACACAGATCGAACATTTTGGATACCCGGCGACAATTTTCGCTTGCGCGCGTTGGTTGATCATTTTTCTATAGAATTCTTTATGTTTTTGAAAGAGAATATTCTCTCTTTATGCTTCTCTCCGGCAGCAAACTTTTTCAGAGGCGCATTCGAGGAAACATATCGTTTCTCTCACAGAGAACGAAAATGATGTTTTGAAAACGAAAATAACATCGTTTTTTATTCCACACACAGTGAGAGAAAAAAAAATTGTAAATAATTTTTTTAAAAACGATAAAAATAACGCACATTTGCGTTCCGTCTTAAATTCGCTTTTAAATTATATCCTTTGCTTCTCGACGCGTTCCAGGAAACTAACGTGCTTCACCGTTTCCTCGGTGAAGCTGCGCGCAAAAGACGCATTTCAACAACTCACACAAGTTGTTGAACACTTTCCATTAACTCCAATTCAAACTATTAAATCTTCCCCACCTCCTTCGTATATTATACTTTTAATGAGACAGCGTTTCTCCGAGTTCATCGTTATACGGGATGTCTGAAAAATTTCAACACAACCGAAGTATGAGGATAAAATTCAGATCAACGTGAAAAGTCATTTATCATTTTGCAAACTTCGCGCAATATTTATTTGAATTGATTACTTAATCAATTAATTAATTAATTAATCAATGTGAGAACCAATGAGCGCGTATGGGGAGCGATAATGCGAATTCTGTGAACGTGTACGTGATTTTCAGTTGTGTGAAAAAAAAAATAACTTATATGCAATCTCTCAGCAACGAGAGGCGCGGCACAAACAAGCGTGTGTGACGGCAGCTTTTTGCGTCAATCAGATTGCTGATTTTCGCGACGCTGCAACTGAAAATCACACACGCCTACGGAAGTTCGGATCGTCGCTTCCCACGCGCTCGTTGGCTCACACTAATTAATAAACTTAATAAATATTGCGAATTTTACAAAATGGCGACGTCTGTTCGGATTGACCCGATTTATCTTCGCGCTGTGTGTCAAAATTGTTCAGACACACCGTACGTACGATATGTGCAAACTACGAGGAAACTTGGTCAGAAACGGCAAAATTGAACGCCGCGCGAAACTCGAGCGAGAGCTCGAAACACTAAGCTCGCGTGTGCGAGCAACAAGAGGGGGATACCTTCGTCGCCAGAAGTTGAGGAGTTGTCCTCGGGTTCGGGCGACGATCCTGGAGATCGTCGGCTGAATCGTGAGTCCGGTCTACCGTATTCGCCGCCACCGGTGCTTCCTCCAGCGCGGTTGTCCTCGTGTTGCTGCGTTCCCCTGTCGGGGAACAACACCGACTGGGATTCTCTGGGCTCGGCGCACGTGCCGCGTCGTCCGTCCCGTGCTTCAAGTCCGGGCAGTCGCTTGCTGAAGTCGGTGGGCATTGCCGGTCGCTTTCTGGGAGTACGTTTACACTTAACGCCACCAGAGAATTGCTTTTCGAATTTTATATGTGTGTAATTGTTTGCGTTGAAAACAAAAACAAAAAAAAAAAGATCATTGGAAAAGGATCGAAACGCGTCGCGAAAACTGAACAAAGCTCGACGAGCTGCTACGCGAAATCGTTGTCGCTCGATCGATCATTGAGGCAATTTTCGTGCAAAAAGATCGGCAGAAAAAGTGCAATATATTTTTATTCATTTATTTTAGAAACTAATAAAATTATATATTCTCTTTAGTATTTTTGTTACGCAATCAGTACAGAAAATAAATTAATGTGATTACCGGCAACACACAACAGAAATATCTCTCGCGAGCTCGCGCGTTTTTGTCATTAAATAGTTAAAATATTTAACGACAACGTATCGAATTGCGTATCTCGATGCGCGTTTTTGTAAATCAAAGTTTATTCAACCCGACACGTTAACATTACACGTTGTTGATTTTGACGACAAACGCGCATTTAGGTTTAATCTCGAATAGAAAATTTGATAAAATTTGAATACGGCGAATATCCGAACGACAACGTTGGATAACGTCACGCCGAATGACACGTGTGTGTTCGATCAATTTCCTCGAATGAACAGGACGAGATGAGAGAGATCGATAAATCCATTATGAGCACCGACCACAACGAAAACGTGGCTCTACTGTTTCGTATGAAAATGACGAACGTACAATTTTCCGGTTGTCCGTGTTTTCGTTAACTAGTCCAAAAACGATGACGCAGATTGATAGACACATAACTGTCAAAAATGCGCTGCACGTAATAACACAAAAGTGCCGTTGTATATATATCTCTGTCAGAAAAATTAAATTAAAACAAAAATTTGCTAATCGCAATTTGTATGTAAATCCACGATGTCGCTCGCTGTATAGAACTCGGATCACAACCCTTGATTCGCGCGAAAAAAAACCCATGGCTTAAACGTCATCAGTTTTCACGTTACGTAATTTTTTACACGGACGATATTTTTAATTAGTCCGTCGCATTGTATCGGGAATGACCTAATTCAAGAATCAAAACGCGCGTCCGAGTATTCTCTGTATCGTTAAAATTACTGATAAAACGCACGAGACTACCTCGAGTTCCCCGTCGCGCGTTAAAATTATACTATTAGATTTAATTAATTAGCAGCTTTAACAACTAATTTATTTAAATCAGATTAACCAAGTATGCGAAAATCCATAAATTTAATTCCGAATTCAATTCTTTCCGAGAGAAATCCGAAATAAGTAAAGCGCTCGCGATAATCCGCGCGAACAAACAACATTGTGACAAAGAAAACGAATAGCTTCCTCTCGGACGTTCGCTCGGTCCCGGAAGAGTACTCAGGCTAATGAACCAATGTCAGCTTCGCACCGAACGTAAACGTACTCCCTAAAGTCGTTGGGGCGGTCGGTAGTTGCGACCGATCTGTCTGAGGTCGGGACTCTGGTCTCGGCGTTTCCGGTTGGCGACACTCGTCTTCCGGTAGTCCCTGGAGAATGGTAGTGATCTCTGCCTCCCTCACCGGCGTCACGGACATTTGCCAGGTCAGCGTTGGCAGCAGTCTTTGCCTCCTTGGCGGGTGAAGGCGGCGGAGACGTTGGTGGCGATGGTGATGGACTTCCTGCACGAGCAGAACTGTAGCACACTGCTGCTTTCCGCAGGGTCTCCCTGCACAGCTCGGAGAACATGCTGTCTCCCCCATGGCCGGGGCCCCGCCGAACTCTTCGCAATTCTTTCCTTTTCGATTGATGAGAAACAATCACGAGTACTGATCGTAGTTAACCATCGTATATCTCTATATCTTTCGTCGTTTCTCCTCTTCTTTATCCCGTTAGATCAGCACGACGATTGCACACCGCGACAACTGACATTCGATCGCGTTGCAATTTCTTTCTATCTCTCTCTCTTTCGACGAGATGCGTGGAGAGAAGTTAGACGAGCATCTGAGAAGGGGAGGGATCGGTAAGGGTTACGCCGATTCCGTTGCCTTCGCCGAAGCTGGCTCGTGTTTCGTAGTTATCGTATTACGATACGTCAGAAAAGAAGGGGGAAACATATAGATTCTGTGAAGTGGTGAATGGGAATTTTGTTCGAGACCTTCGAATATCCTTGACAAAAATTTAATCTGATATCTCCTCTCCTCTCATTCATTCACTCTCTCATTTACACTTTTATTTTCTAACAAAGACTCCGATTGCTATATCTATTGGTATAACTCGTTATCGCGCGTATAGTGTTTGCGCGACACAGCTCGCCAGAGAGCGCGACAGTCAGTCATTTATCACGACACAACTTGATGACAACTTCATTGTTGCTCGAACATATTTTTTTTTTTTTATTCCACCGAGTCATTTATTTTCAGATTCGAAAATAAATGGAAATCAGTGGGAACCATATCTGGCGAATAAAAGCGAATGAAGCGGCGCAATTCGAAGGCCAGCTCGTAAATTTTTGGCCGTTGCAGCAGGTGAGGTGCGAGCTTGGTGCGTTGTCGAAAATTGCTGAGAGCTTTTCAACCTTGGCGAGCTTGTCAACGCAAAACACCACCGCGCGGCGACAGCCAGGCATTTGACGGCGTCATTCGTTCTTCCGAAGAATGAAACTTGTCAGCAACAGCAACGCGACGCTATCTGCGCGCCGTTTCGGATATACTTATTAATTGTCCAGCGCAGATAACGCAAGCGATAGGCGGTGAATACATAGAGCGTGTGCGCGCGTCGGGAAGCGATAGAGTGCGCGCGGACACGACGCGTTGCTTCGGATCATAATAAAAATGTCTGGCTGCTCGCCAGCAGTTTGCAAAATTTACCGTCTCCCCGTGATAGTCCCGGCAACGTAAAACACCCGGTCTAGACCATGTATAAAGCGGGGATTTCGTGACGCCTCGCAAACGCCACGAGAGAGAGAGAGAGAGAGAGAGAGAGAGAGAGAGAGAGAGAAAGAGAGAGGGTCACACAGCAGGAGGAGGAAAAGAGGGCACACACCACCGCGGCGCTATCGATTTGCATTACGCTAAAATTACGCCGCATGCTGTTAATTCAGTCCGCGGATATTCGAGCTATTTACATCGCGAACTCGAATTTTAAGTCGTGTCGTGCGAGTGTCTGTCTTCCGTATTGAAAAATTATCGCAGCGAGGAAGAGAGGGTTTCGACGCTTCCGCGCATTGCCGTTAAATTGATCAGTCTCGGGAGAAAAACGCGAGAAAAGAAGGGAGAGAGGGGAAGAGCTTATAACAATTCGCGATTGTTTAATATCCAATAATCACTGGTGCGGAATTTCATAATCGGAACCGCCGCCAAATCGAAAATCATTGAATCACGAAATGCGTCAAAACTCCCAATAATGTACTCGATTACACAGTTTTTCCGCGAAATACACAATCAATTGTGTACAAATTAATTTTTTATTAATTGATAAACAGTATACGAACAGCAGAGAGAGTGAGAAAAAAAGAGAGAGTGAAAGAGAGAGAGAAAGAACGAGAAAGAGATGCTACAAGCTTCGTATTTTTTATACACAAACAATATATATATTTTTTATACACAAACAATATCCTACACTTGTGCGATGAATTCCGATCAAAAACAATTTTATATATAAGCTCGTCAAAGTTATAACAACTAACAGATAATTTATAAGATCAATACGAGAGCACATGTGCCAAATATATACGTGCAAATATATTGTTAAACAAATAAATTTTTAATAAATTTATTTGTAAATCAATACACTTGGAAATTCGGAAAATTCGAGTTGATTTCAATTGAAACATTCATCTATACTTAATTTGCATCTCCAATATATAAATTATCTTCGTTAATTTGTTATAAATTATCCATTTTACTCCTTTGTGAAATTTTAAAAATTCATTGCGAAAAAAAAACAACTTGGCCACAAAATCGAATCCGAACTTTTGTGCGGTCGCCTCTTACCAAGCACACGAAGCAAATCTTTCGCAACGTGGCTTTTAAATGACTTGTTCAAATTCACGAAACAACGCGATCTCCCGCGATCTCCGCGCGAAAAGTACAACGAGCTTTAAGCTCGCGAAAGCTTACAACCAGACAGAGTTTTGAGGTCAGATACAAGCAAATGTGCTGAATAAATTTTCGAATTTCCATACGCGTGTATTAATTTACACGTTTAAAGGTATATTTGCATTCGAGACACATTGGGTATTGATCTTTAAAATTATCCGCTAGTTGTAATTCCGATTATCTGCGTCAACGTAGCGCATTATTATAGTCAATAATAATTTTCCATATCAAAACATAATCTTGCGTCAATACACTTTCGTTGCATAAGCCAATCATATCGCGAAAGATTATACTTGATTATCGAATTTGATTATCGTCGAATATATATTAACGACGTGACATCACAATTGCGAATTTACATCTAGGCGGGCGAATTTCAGAATTCGCGCAAACACAATAGTTTGATTATTTCTCTCGTCCGTTCGCGCGTGCGTTAATGAGGATCGTGACAAATGCGGAATCATCCGTTTCTGTCGCGTTGATCCGGGGAGGAGGAGGGAAGGGTGGAGAGGAGCAACCGCGAATAAATATCGAACAATCCGATTTCCTCAATCGACGGAGATGGGAAGCGCGTTAAAATTTGCGGCTTACATAGACGCGCTTTAAAACGAATTTGGAGCACGAGCTCGCGAGAAAACAGAGATTGGCAAAAATTTTTACGCTATAGAAAATAGACAGAGGAAACCGTGGCGGGAGGGGAAGAAGAAAGAAAGTTTATTACTTTCTACACGGTGAAGAACTCGATGATTTATCGCTGCACGCGACGTACAAAAACCCCCCTTCGGTGTACGCGCGCGGCGCATTTAACATGCACATAATTCCGTCAAACGAGCATCGTTGTGCCGTTGCCAACCGCATCGGCTATTAGAGGAAGAAAACAGAATGAACGACCGACGAATACGCTCGGCGGCGTTCACGAGAATTTCGCGTTATCAGTGAAATTAAAAAAAAAAAAAAGAGAGAGGAATCTTTATTATCCGTCTTTCAAACGCAGGCTTTCGTGAAAAAAAAAAAGACGAGAATAATTTCTTCTTTCAATGAAAGAAATTTGCGCATTTCTTAACAATTGTCTCAATAATTTGACTCTTGGCAAATATATGCCTCTCTGATTTATCCAGAGAGAAAGAGAGAGAGACATTCGCTAAAATGTCAAATTATTTGTTTGCGTTTTAAAAGAACTTTGCGCGTTTCCAACAATTGTCTCGGACAATTCGACTTTCAGCGAGTATGTCCTTCTGTGGACTCCATTTCTAAGTTTCCGAGTAACTTGGCTAAAAAAAAAAAAAAAGAAAAACAAAAACTGTCGGTGATTGTTGAAACTCGACACGAGCTCCGTTGTGAAAAAAAAAAAAAAAAAAAAATCTCGCGAGAATTGGTGGAATATTAAAACGTTGTATTTTCTGTGACAACTAATCGACGCGCGGAAAAGCCGACACTCGTCTCGCGTGGGATGCGGCGCATTTCACTCGACGGTCGAAGCCGAACCGATTAAACGCGCGAAAAGCAATCGACGGACTTTGCTGATTGGCAAAGCGAATCATTGAGCTTCTGTCAAACGCGTCCGCGCGCGCGCGCGCGCGCGGATACATAACAATAACGCATTATTTTCCCCAGCATCTGACGCACGTGGCGATTATTCCCCGTTTCACTCTCGCTTTACGCGCTTGACGGTGTAACGTGAAATATGTCTTCTCGTTTTCTTTTACGTCAACGAGAGAAAACTGCTATTATACAAACGCGCCGAGAAGTAGCGACGTGTAAATAATAGCAATAAAAAATATATATGTAGGATAAATAAAATGCGTGTGTGTGTGTGTGTGTAAAATAATCACGCGCAAAAATATATTTCCCCGACTAATGTTTATAAAAAAAAGAAAAGTGAGATCGGAGGGCAAACATCTCCGAGAGAGCGCGAAGCGACACATTCAAGTGGAAATAAACAAGCGTGAAAGCAAAAAGTAACGTCAGCAAGTGCGGTATTCTTACGTGTGTGTGCGTATATATATATATATATATATATATATATATATATATATCGCAAACTTTGACATCGAGAGTAAATCGCCCGAAATTTATCGCTACTCGTTATACAGCCCGAGAAGGAGAATCGCCTCCGTCCGCTTTAATACTCGTGCTTAGGATTCTAAATACACGTGATAGATATAAACGGCGTTGTGCGACGCCGAAATTCATTATGTTAATTGCCGTTTTCCGAAACGAAGATAACACACAAGCCAAATTGAGTGGCAAAACAACGACTACGGTGAAATTAATTTTATAAATTTCGCTTGCGACGAAATATCTCGCGTCACCGAATATAGTAAATTTGCAATTTGAGTTTGTTTTTTTATTGCGTGACAAAATCAAAAAATTATTTAGCAACAAGAAACGAAATTAGTAACCAAAACTTGATTTTTGCTGTGTACCTTTATGCGAAAAAAAAAAAAAAACTGCTTCGTCGCTACTCTTCGACGTTTACTTTCGCGTCGCAAACTTAATTTAAGAGAAAAGCTTCTCTCTCGAAAGCGCATTTTTTAACCAGGGAGCCATCGCGAAAGTCATCGGCAAACTCGATTCTAATGGCACGACAGTATGATTACTGAACTAGTTTTGAAATATCTGGTATATACAGTTTGTTTTCCAGGAAATCGAAACCTGCCAAAAAATGGCATTCGATCGCCAAGTCGCGAGGGTGGAAAGGAAAAAGTTTCCCCCCCCCTCCTCCCCCGAAAGGACGACGCCACGACGCCGGCGTCGTCGAGAGAGAGAGATATATATAACCTTGTATACGGTCTCGATAACATTGCAGTAACTTTGCCGGTAATCAAATACTAGTCTTGAGATAGTTGCAAGTTGTATGATGAGCGAAACCCAAAGAGCTATGTTTAGATGAGATTTGTGGTAATCATTCAATCGCGTATTCGCGTTTGCGTGCCGATCCACAGCTGCAGACCTTGTTAAATAAATGGGTACGTGACAAGGTATCGACACGAGTCGATCGGCGGAGGATGAAGAGAAGGTCAAAGTTCAATTCGCGGATTAATTCTGAAATTAGGCAATCAACCGCCGAGATTGCTCGTCCGATCCTCTAACTAAGATTAAGTCGTTGATGCACCTTCAATCTGGATTGACGATGGATCTTGACGATAATTCCCCCCCCCCCCCCGGGGCGAGAGATTGTCGCCATGACCACGTGATCGTGAGAGAGTTCGCGATATAATTCTCCCTCCGTCTGTCCACGTGCGACGAGGAACCACCAAATTTGTCTTCTTTCATCTCTTGGCGCAAAAATTAAATTGTTTAATGTGTTTCAAACCGATTTTGAAAACGTAACGCTTGCGCGAAGAGCTTTTCTTGAAAATATTTCGCGAGTCGTCTCGCAACTTTTCTTGATCGAGTTGTACTTTCTTTAAACATTTTATATCTCGACTAACGAAACGAGAAGTTTTTTTTGAGAGGGAAGAAAAGAAATGGAGAAACAGAAATTGACCAAAAATCTAGTTACGTAATTCAATCGGAACTGCTAAAACCAATGTTGTGCAAGTTATCTCTGTCGGGTTGAACTTTTGTTGTCTCTTTCGCGGAGAAAATAACTTAACCCAATCCACACCAAGTAGTTTTTCCGAAAACCTTGTCAAGTTATCATCGAATCGACAATCGAATCAACAACCTATCTCCATAAAAAAAAAAAAAAAAAAAAAAAACTGGCACTTCTCTCTCTCTCTCTCTCTTTTTATCTTTCTCTCTTTCTATCTGCAAAGTCACCGTTCACCACAAAAATTCATTTCTCTCCGACGTGTTGCCGAACTACCCAGATTTTGTAACCGGAAAAGCAAGCAACAACGAACGATTTAGCTCTCACGAGGTAAACCAATATTGAAACAACCGCATGAAAACGAGCCAGCCGCGGCAAAACTGCGCCAGAAGCGGTGTAGAACAAGAGAAGAAGCCAAAGGGATACTGTTGCGACGCGACGAAAAGCGGGACGAGCACCTTGTTCTGTGAGTTTCCTCGCGTCCGCCTCGTGGCAAGTCGACGAGTCATCGCGACGTGTTCGGAGTCAGATGGTCCCGGAGTCACCTGCGCGCCGGACGGTCTCCAGGCGAGAACTGAGACTTGAGCCTGTACGAGATCGTGAGAGAGAAAGAGAGAGAGAGAGAGAGAGAGAGAGAAGAGAGAGAGAGAGGCGCGAGGTGCTACCCCGTTCGGAGGGTGGCGAGAGGATTGCGCCGACTCTCGCGTAGAGACCAACATGCGCTGCTCGGTTAGTACGTGTGGGTAGTAGTATGTCGCTGCGAGGATCCGGGAGGGTTGGAGAAGAATCGGCGGAGAGCAGCACACACAGTCAAGGGAGAGAGACTGCGGGGGAGGACAAAAATGGAGGGAGATTGCGAAGGGAGGCTGCGAAGGATAACGGAGGGATGACTCGCGCGCGAGGAAGGCGATACGTTCGGTCGGTGTATATCGTACGAGGAAGGCATCGGAGAGAGAAAACAGAGAGAGAGAGAGAGAGAGGGTGGAGGAAGAGGAACCGAAGAGGGATTCGGAAAAACGACGACGCGAGATAAGACGAGAAGGAAGAGAAATTGTGGGACGCGGAAGAGAGACGGGAGAGAAACGATGGAGGAAATGCCGGCGCGGTAGTAACCGGCCTCTGTCGCCTTCGACGGTTGAGCGGCGCAGCTGGCGGCGCTGCTGTTGCATCGATCAGCCACCGCCATCACCTGCAACCCTTTCTCGAAATGGTCAACCCTTACGAAGAGCCGCGCGTTCAGCACACAACCCTCCCCCGTGTATACAACCGTTTTAATTCCGATTTTCGATCTTCGACCTTTGTATCTTCCCATTTTTTCATCGTCCCACATCGACTTTGCTCGTCGTTTTTACTCGTTCGTCCACAATCGGCCAACGATTCTCGCTTATTATTTCGCCGTTTGAGTTTTCGCCTCGCAAACGAGCGCACGAACCAGCGTTTTGTATCGCGCTGACCAGAGCAGTTATCGCGATTCGATGGAGAACCAGGTGACCTAGATCAGATCGTGTGACAGGTCTGAATTGATCGGACTCCTCGACATTTGATCGTGAGAATTTAATCCTTCGGCAGTTGTGACAGACCGACGCTGAGAGTATTGGTTTAGAGTATCGTTCTGAAGTTGAAAATAACCCTGAGAAGGAAGGTAAGGTGTTACGAAACACATCCACAGTTGCACAAAACTGAGAAATTCTCTCAGCGGTCTCGAGTGTTCGCGAGTATGTATCTGACCAAAGTGGAGACACACGCAGAACAAAAAGAGAAAGAGAGAGAGAGCGGTCGACGATCATCTCACAATCTGCCCTTCTCTCCGAGAGAGAACGTGCGGTTCGCAAAAATCGATAACCTTGAGGACGTCGTAGCAACAAACTCCGAGGATTCTCTCCGATATGATCTCCGAAAAATTCTCCGAATATCGAAGTGTGAGCGAGATAAAAAAATAAAAACAAAAAGCTATTTTTTCGACAATCTTTCGGCAACGAAATCGCGTTATTTCCTATATATATATATATATCGCGACGAGCGAATAAAATTCGCTCTCACGATGCTTTAACGGGAGTTAAAAATAACGGATTACATATCTTTCGCGATATTTTATAAAACGTGACGCGAATACGAGCTCTGGAATTCGCTGGTTTAAATTCTTCCGCGCTAAATAAATAAGAACAAACAACGATACCAAACACAAAATGCAACAACTTGAAAAATAAATATCTATATAATATTTTTCACGCGCCAGAGATGTTTTTCGAAATAATTCAGTAGTGTGTGAAAAAAAAAAAAAAAAACCATTGCATTGTGTTTTCGAACGCGACCGACGCAATTTTTCCACGCGGTTTTTTATCCGCCTAATCCATTTTTTTATCGTTCTGATCTTTCGTACTTGCGCGAAGATCGAACTTTGTCACGGACTTTGTCTCTCGTCTCCGCGTGTGACGTTTCCGAACGTCTCAAAACCCCCCCGTATTTTCGTCCACATTGCTGACGTGAGTAACGGTCCTCTGGTTCTGCGTACGTGTCCTTCCGAAATTCCGTGCGCGTCTGGGGAGGCGAACGGGAAGGCGACCAATTCGAGACACACCAGAATCGGAATCCCTCGCCTTGCGTGGAAGCGGGAGCAGCACTCCACACGCAAGAAACATCCCGGACTGGCGGCGGCGGCGGCGCGCCGGTTTTGTTCCCTCTGCTGTCCTCTCTCTACGGAGTAGAGACCTTTGACTATTCGACTTTGCTCTCTCTCTCTCTCTCTCTCTCTCTCTCTCTGTCGACCCTTTCGCTTCGACGACCGGAAAATTACACGTCTACTCGCAACCGGAGATTAAGCTCCGAATAATTAGTTTTATTTCAAGCGCTCGGACAAACCTCGTTTAATATATCTCGCAATTCCGCTGACAATATCGAGTTAACTGCGAGAAGGATCCAACAATCTCTTGATATCGCCACGAAAAATCGTCGCTTCGTAGTTAAAAACGTCTTTGTGTGCCGGCAAGATTTTTCTCGCAAAAGAAACATTTGCATCTCAAATTCTCAATTTCAACAAAAATGTTTTCTTCCGAGTTTATTTTCGTCGAAATAAACTACAAACGTTTCCGTCCTTTAAATCAATATCACGATTGAATAACTCGTTACGCGTCTTCATCGATTTGATCTCAGAAAGTATAATTTTGAATTAATCTCCACCACGACTCGTTTTCCGGCAGCTCGAATATTATTTAATTGGAAAAGTTTCGCATATCGCGCCAATACGACGGATTTCGATGAGGAAACAGCTTCTCGGCCACGATATGATCATCAATCGTCGTCGAGTCTCAATCTTCGAACGAGAAGTTGGTGGAAGCATCGAGAAGGACCGATTCGAACCTTTATCGAAGACGAGTACTCGACTCACCGAAGTAAGTTAATTATCGGGGATTAATTTCAAACACTGGAATGAGAAAACGTCTATATCCGCGGGGAATGTACTTAGTGATCTCTCTCTCTCTCTCTTTCTCCCTCTCGTTATCGCACGAGAGTGCCCCAAAATGAACAAACGAGGAAAACAATGAGCTCTTTCCGAGCGCACTTAAGGTACTTTCGCGTTTCTTCGTTCCACTCTGCAACTTCCTTTTTCGACGATTATGTCTATCCTCCGTCAAGCCATTTCGTCGCACAAAACGTTCTGCGAACGATACTCGGTCTAACATTTTTTGAAGGAAATTGTTATCAACACCAGATCAATTATAAATTCTCGTCGCGATTTATTTGAAATAATTTTATCATAAAGTGACTTTACGCCCAAATGTACGTTGAAAAAAAATCAATCTTTTTCAAATCTTTGCAGCTGAAAGTTTTTTTTTGTTAATTAAATTATTTAAATATCAATATACAAAGATATGAAAAATAATAACAAATCAAACGTGTTTTACATTATTCGTTAAACTGACGGATGTGGAGGTACTAGACGCGTATATTCGATCGACTCCGGTCGTTCTAGTTTTAACGATATCTGGTTTTTTTTTCTCGCGAGAACGCCGACGTCGATTTATTCATATTTTTTAAATTAGACACGACATTCGCTCGTCTCTCACCGATCTTACCTCTCTCTCTCTCCCTCTCTTTCTCTCTCTCTCTCGGCTAAACGAATTAAAAACACGCATTTTCCCTCGTCCGTCCACTTCCATTAAATTCCATTTGCCGCCGTTTAAATCACATTCTTCCACTTAATGGAAATCAATTGAACGACGTTGTGTCCACTCTGTCCTCCTCTCCCCCTTACCCCGGCATTGCCACACCCTCGCGCATCGCAACCCGTTCGCTAATTCCCGCCATATCGAGCTTCCGCAGGAGCAGAGGTTCGTCCTGTTTGCTGTGCTCGCACACAACCGCCTTTCGCACGGTCGCCGAAGGGCGTTCATGCACTGTTGCTTTTGCAGTCGTGCGAATCGACCGACGCGTCGGAACCTCCGGTTATTAGCCACGCGTGTATCGACTCTCTCTCTCTCTCTCTCTCACACACACTTCGAAATTTTAAAGATAGTAAAATTTTTACGTCGATTTTGTCAGACGTCCATCAACTGTTGTTGTTTGTTGATATTTCTTTCAAATTATCCTCTTTTTTCCCCCGCATCGGATACACACGCTCTCGTACGGAAACTTTCAAAAAAGGTTTAATATAACAACAGATCTCCCGCGGCTCGAAAATTACGAAAGTCCGAGAGTGTTAGATTTCTGAAGAGATACACAAGGGGGAACGTTAGATTGATGGATCAACTTCGTGAAAACCAATACACGCTTCTTCAACAACGCACGCGTGATCCTATCTGCAATTGTTACACATTGCACGTCACGCGCGACGATGACAGACGAACGGAGACCGATTACGTAAGAATAGAGTTTTGCGGTTCGGAAATTTAACGTCACACCGTCATTTAGAACGATGTCGCATCAGTAATGATGTTCTTCGAAACTACGCGAGGTCGAAGTTCAACAAAAATAACCTAAATTTTTTATTCTCATCGTTCCCTTTTTGCGACAAAAAAAAAAAAAAAAAAAAAAAAAAAATACTGTGCGAATGCACCATCTGTGCAAAGAG